TGAGTATAGTCGTCCCAAGCTCACGTCTCTAGAAAGGCGAAAGATTTACTATCGGACACGCATGTATTTATCCATGAAGGCGTAACGCGGTGTTAGGTTACACGAGGAACCATTGACTTATTACGTTATAAGGAATAGTTTGAAATGGACAATTTACAACGCTAAATATTCCGAAATGTGAACATTTTACACTCCTTGTGTGTCCGTTGCGGTTTCTGGTGATTTCTGCCATGAGAGGGCTAGGAAATTTACAAAGTTTTAAAACATACGTGTTTCGCTTTTGAGCTTTTTGCCATGAACGCAACCCCGGGTAGGCGGGTTACCCCACCTTGAGACGTTTAAATGGCAAATTGTCACCCCGGCTGACAGGGTTACTCTACCTGGAAGACCGGACAACCCACCTAGGCGGGTCACCCCACTTATCATGTAAACGTGATCAAGATCAAATAAGAAATTTTATGGACAGGTGGGTTACCTCATGTACCTGGGGTCCCCCACCTCCATGTAAACAGGCCCTTAGCTAGAACAGAGTTCATACGCTGGTCAATTGACAGGCTGGGGACAGGGAAGGAATTTGTTAGATAAAAAGAATTTTAAAATTGATTTTACTACAAAACTTCACCTCTCATCCGTTTTGTATATGTGGCACTCTGGATAATTGTGGATAACACATACTCCTCTTAGTCCTTAGGTATAAGGTTCATACCCTGGCCATGTGAACTTTTTATTAATTTTGTCTTTTCTTTTTTTCCTTTTTTTTTTTTAAATTCAATTCAAATTATTCTTCAAAGGATTTGTTAGATATGTTCAGAGTAAATGTACACGTGTGAATGTTTGATGATTTAGCTCTTATGTTCAAATTGATAACAATATCGAAATGCAGAGGTGAGGCCCAGAAAAAAAATTAACTAGACACGAAAAAAGTGAGTATAAGTCCTAAGAAACCTGATCAGATCCGTTCAGTGATGGCCAGTGTCAGAACTGAACCAGGATAGATCACAAGAGATGTTAGGAGTGTCTCACAATAGTCCACCATTTTGAAAATCATGCAGGGTTTGGGGGAAGGTTTTCAGACCTACATGATACCATAACATGGTGCCTAGGGCCAATAATCCTAGAAGGATTGCACAATAGGCACAAAATGGCAGCTAAATGCATTTAGTTATATGAGGGACTTCTAGCTCACTTCACAAGCCATTGAACACTCATTACACAATAAGGGTTTTGCTCCCAGGTTATGCTGGAGGAACAAACTACAGGAGAGAAGCTCTTTGGCACATATCAATGGGGTTTATTTCATCCTCTGAGGCAGAATTTTCATCCCACATAATGAAATGGGCCACAAGAGTATACCAGGTATTTCAAAGGGTGGATAGCCTCTATCCAATGGCTTAATAGCTATTCAGTGGATAATTGTTTATAAAATGTATTGCGTTATTTACTGGGTAGAGATTTATCCAGTTGATGGTAATCACCACCCTTTGAGCAATTGGGACCAGAGGAAAAATTGGGTGCAAGGTCTTTGGGTAAATTGAACAAACTTGAAAATGCTTCTCTGCATGCACTGGTTATGCAAATTGAAACATGCCCCATGGCCAAGAGCAAAACCCTTCAAGTGTATTCAATTTGACCATAACTACTGTATACATAGATAAATTCCATTGTGCATTCACACATTTACACTTCAGTTATTTCACACATACTACATTATTTTGCAACTTATGGTGCCACACACAATTAGAATAATTTAAATGCTGTGTTAAAAACAAGATGAAATAATTTTCAACCCTTAATTACTGTTACACATAATTTATGTGCTTTATGTAAAGAACAAACTTGGATAGATTATTGCTTTATTTATTCTGAATTTCAGGGGAACTGGCAGCTATTACAGAGGATTTGTTAAACCGCCTGAAAGATTTATCAGTACCCAACTGTCAGGGGGACTCAGGGTGTTATATCAAAAGCTTGAAGAAAAAAAAAAAGGCTTGTGTAACAAAGAAACTCTACTGCTCAGAGTGGCTACAATACCAAAAGGTTTAGTAATGATTCTCCAGTGTTGCCAATTTCATTGCCATTCTCCTAAGTTCTATTGAGTAAACAGGGAGACTCACCATCGGCTGATTCATCTACTGGGTGTATTTTGGTACATATTACTTGTACAACTCTTTACACTTATTTGAAAGGAGGCAAACAATAAGAAAAGTATTTGAATGCGCAAATAAGTCCAACCTCTCGATAGAAGACTAGGAAAAAATATTTTCCATTATGGGGGGAAATCAAGTGTGGAATTTTTCTTGCATACTGTACAGACACCAGACAAGTCATGTTTCAATCTAATCCCCAAAGAATAAGTGGATGATAGATTTTTTGATTTTGATCATGAGGACAGTTGATATATTATTGCACATCAGCCTATGACTCTGCAGCCTAGTTTTGATTTGCTTTATGTAAAAATCAACATGGGAGAACCAGAATGTGTACACAGACTAGATGTGCTGACATTTTTATTTTATTTTTTTTTCCTTTTTGGCTCCAGTACTAGCATCACAGACTGGCAAAGATGGCAAATTCAAGCCTTGTTACCCAGGTAACTTCTCTGTTTCAGTTCAGTAGCTGCATCAATTACACTGAAGATTTGCAATCACTATATAAAAGTATGTTTCTGTAAAGCTACAGTTATCTTGTGAATTCAAAATCTTGAATTAAAAAAGGTTTTTAAGTATGTGTAGCTTGGACTAAAGAAATATGACACAAAAATAAATTGTTATGGCAAAATTTATCAAATGAATACATTTTTTTTTCAATTTTAATTGCTATTGATTTCTTCTTCATAATTTTCTTTCTGGTAGTTCCATTACTTGCTGGAAGATACAAATTTATTCAAGTTATTGGTGAAGGGGAATCATCCCTCTTGATTTCAGCAGAGGTAAGGTATACAAAATGCACATACAGACTGAAAATTATGGTTTTTAATTACTGTAACTGTCTTTGGAAAATACCAGTACCTCCTGTTATACCTGTCAACTTTATACCTACAGTTATATGAATTTTTTCGAAAGTGTTACGTCATTTTTGAAGGATCTATTAATTACTTTCAGCATATGGTTAAAAACTTGCCTTATAACCCTTTAACTCCCAGAATTGAGTGAAAAGTAACTTCTCCCTTTAATATCTTTACATTATATAGCAAACAGGTAATGAGATACTCAAACTGATCAGGAAAAAGTTGTTGTCTTGATCTAACACAAAATTTTAGTAATTAGTTTAATAGAAAAGATGCAGCAGCTAGAGGGGAGAATTAACAATCTGATCTAAGGAGTTAAATGGGAAAAGACATTCAAAGGTGTTTGAAATGCAATTCAGAGGTGTATCATATGTTTCAATTAAGATAACCTCTTCCATAGCTGCAAAGGCCCATATTCCTTCTAGAAACAGACCAAAACATTTGAAACCCAAGGGCTTGTGTTGCTTAATTCCAATTTCAGCTTCTATTACAGACAATATTTTGTGATGAAACTTATTTTGTGATTGGATAAAAACTGTTCAGTTCACTCAGTATGCTTGTATATTTATCAAAGCTAACATTCATGTAATTTTCTTTGTAAAGGATACATACCATTTTGAAAAGAAGCAAGTTGCTATAAAGATAATGAATTTGGATTATTCCAGACTTGGAGCTCAGGTACACTGTATCTGTCTATAGAGTTTAATATGCATGCAGCTGTAAGTGATAAGGTACATTTCAGACAAGCAAGCTACAAATGAATCTGTTATATGCAGAGCTGAGAGTGCTACTGAAACTGTAACTGCTGAAAAGAGCTTGCATGCAAGCATGTGTACCTTGACATGAAGTGTACATTGTCAGTGGAAATTGTTCAAGATGAAGAGTGCATGTACATGCAAAGATCTTTGGGCTAATTTCTTACAAGGTAAATTAGATTAACTTACTATCCACTTTGTATTACATGAGTTTACTTTTTATTTACAAAACTGTTGTAGGAGGCAGATTGCATTCAACAGCTCAACAAGGCTGATCCTCTCCATGTTTCCAGAACTGTCCAGTTGTTTGTAAGTCATGAATGTACGATCCCTTTTGAGTACTGAATCACATGAAACGAAATATCTGTATGTTGTTAAATAGGACTGATTTTATACAGACACTGTAAGTATCACTCCACCTTTTTGATACCATATGAAAAATCATGAAAAGAGAAGAAACTGACCCTACTGAAGGACAAGAATGATGTAATTACTCAACAGTATTAAACACCACTGGCCTTAACTGACAAGGCAATTTGACCAATTATCTTGGATTGAGAATGGTGAATGCTTTGCCTTTCATCCATCAACTTGACAGAGTGGTGCAAACTAGGTTTTTTGCATGTCAACACTTAGTTGGCAGTATCAAACATGCATGAAAAATTATAATTGTAATTTACTTGTATGCAGTTACAGCTTTTCTTGTAAAACACCGCAGTCTTAATATTATGATTTCCAATTGGTTCTTTGTTTTACAATAATTGTAACATAGCACCGATATATTTGGTACATGAGTACAAGAATGTATTCTATTTAGAGGACCACAGTTCACTGACCTTGCATTTTTGCCAATTTGACATATTTGCTTGTGGATTTTTAGAATGTTTTCAGTTTTGAGGGCCATTACTGCTTGGTTTTTGAGCTGTTGAGACCTCGGCCACTCCATCAATACTTTCAGGTTGGTTAAATTATAAACAGTTTAATTTAGTATTATCAACTGAGTTGGTAACGTAAATTGGCCTCTGTTAAGAGTTTCAAAGCTAATGTTTCAAGCATTAGCCCTCTGTCAAAGGGAATGGTGAAGGGCTAACATTCGAAATGTCAGCTTTGAAACTCTTTATGGTGGCTAATTTATGTTATCAATTCAGTTAATAATACCAAATTACCTTGTCATACTCTCCCACTGATACAGTGCCACGCTTTGCTTTAGAAATTTACTGGCTTTATTGAATTATAAACATGCTGTTAAGGAATCCATTGAGCTTTCCCTTTAAATCAATTGTTGTACTTTGTAGTTGTATCTCTACTGATGTAAGTATTATATTTTAAATCATCTTCTTTACAGAAATGTCAGTTTGATAACGAGGTAAGAGTGTTTAATGTATTACCATCTGTGCATTGTATGTTTTCATTGTTAAATTGATTGTCATCTTTGTTAACAACATGATTGATTTAATATACATAATTTTGGCAAGATCATCATCTAACCATGTACATTCTGTAATATCAGTCACTCAACAGTGTTTTCTTGATTTTGTTTACCAACAGGATGACAAACTGAAAGTCATCAGGAAAATAACTTTTCAAGTGAGCAAACCTTTTTTTAAATTCTTATAACTACTTTTGATTTAATTTATTTCAAATACAATTGCATCAGTTTTCTTTTGTCAGCTATAAGAACTTATAAAGACCATTTAGTTAGACCATATAGTTTAGTTAAGACCATAAAGTTAGCTTTAATGAAGATGAAACTTGTTATGCGTCAAATTTATTGAAATCAAAATAAGTTTTTTTTTATATAATAAATTGATGTGATTATTTGCTTGTAGCTCTTACAAGCTCTTGGATTCCTAAGGAGGTAAGATTATCAATAGGTGTTCTTCTTAGACTCTCTAGAATTACTCATCTGTACCCACAAGTGGCTTCATTTTATTTCATTGTTAAGGGAATCTTCTCTTGCCCATCTTTTGGTGATGCCACCATGTTGTTGCAGGTTGGAAGTGGGATGTTTATTCTGCATTTTGGTAAATAAAAGGGATCTTTTCAAAGGGGAGTGATCATTTGAGAGGAGGGACTGATTTCAGGATTTTATGTGCTTTGATCTCATTCAACTTTCCATATGAATCCACAGACAGAATGTCATCCATGCTGACTTGAAACCAGAGAACATTCTTTTTGAAGAAGGTGAAGTGGGTGTTTGCAACAAATTGTCAAAAAATTTGATTTAACTTAATGGACTTAAAAAGTCTTCCTTTTTAAAGATAGTTGTAATATTTTGATCTGGTTAAATATAAATAACAGCTGTACATAGCATTTTGTAAGAAAAACAGACCAACATTTTATACAGATTCTGAAGATACGCTATACAGTGGTCAGTGAAAGACTTAACTTTGATGAATACTCAGAGTTCATATCAGCTACAATTATTTGCCTAACAAAAAACATCATGAATATACCATCCCATTTTTGTTTCTGTCATCATGATGGTGACTGGATGCCTTGTATAGGGCCCCATGTCTTAGTTGCAAACATTTTGATGCATGGGAGCAGTAGGTTTGGAATTTATGGACTAAACCTTTTATGGACGTAACCTTTTTTACATTTCTGACAGCCAACCTACATTGAGAGATCTGGTTGTTAATACACTGTAATAAAACAACTTTTTGTACACTTAACAATTTTAGTCACAGACCTGAAGGTGAACAGTGGTGGATATTTACCTCACTGCTTCGCAGCTTGGTGAATATCCACCACTTTCACTGACACTGACAGAAGTGAATAAATTTGTTAGTATATACCACATAGATACCAAAAAATTAGTTTATTTCTTTTAATATACCAAAAACTGGTCAGAAATCAAACTCTTACAATGTGATTTTGTCTCACAGGCTGCATGGAGGTGAATAGTACTTAGTATTCACTGAATGGAACCAGCCAATCAGCACATGCAAAAAGCACTATTTACTTGTTTGGTGTGTACTAAAATTGTTTATTATATTAACACACTGTAGGTGACGAAACCAAGATAAAAGTTGTTGACTTTGGAAATGCAATTCACTGGGTTCATAGAGAGGTACATGTAATTTCTATTATTTGATGATTTTAGTGACTTAATTTTAAATGTGTGCAGCTAGATGCATCAGAATTGTTGTACTGCAGACTTTATGAACCCTTTACACCCTAACATCAATATGCATATTCTCTATACTGCCATCTATGCCATTTTGATCACCATGACAAGTGAAAATATATTTGGTGACTTTTGCTAACATTTTAGTCATTTTAACATTTTAGTTAATTGGTGACTAACAGATAAGAAAAAAGAAAAAAGAAAAAAGAGGCAGCCAAAAATTTTTAAATGGTGACCATTTTAAATTTGAAGGTTGCCAAAAGGCAACTCTTTGGAAAAATGAGCTTGGAGCTCTGTCAGCCACCATTAGTAATGACATATGATAATTATTCAAAGTATGTAATTTAATTCTTATTTTCTTCTGTTTAATTCTGTCAGGTTTCCTTGTATTATGATGAGTTTGAACTACAAACTTTACTTTACAGAGCTCCTGAGGTAAAGTAAAGATATTGCTGTTTTCATGAATTGGGAGACAAAATTAATTTTACATGTAGGTTACATGCATGCAACTCCAGTGTTTTCCTAATCAATCCAAGGGAAATAAAGCGAGATTAAACTATTTTATTTGGACTTGCATGAACTGAAGTACTCTATGAAAGATGATCAGTAAAGTTCTGCAGTTTTGTGTTTCATAAAACAACTTAATGTGGTTGGCCTGTTGCAGATGGAAAATTCTGTTCTGTGGTGACTATCATCTCAAGCAATGTATCAGAAAACATATTTAAATTCACACAATTATTTTACCATGATTGTATCTCAGGTGCAAATAGATGGGGGATGTACATATTAGGGCCGTTTTTAAGTGGTTGTTGGACACTTGAATTTTAAAGTTCAGTGTATGCATGTATGCAGATGACACTACAGTTTACTGTATTGGACCAAATGTTGACCAGGTTATGTTGTCACTAAATAAATCATTGGAGCAAGTTCTCCTGTGGAGCATTAAGAATCAGCTAACCATCCACCCAATTAAAACTGAAGCAATGATACTAAGTAAAACCTCTTTTGTTGGGCCTATACCTCCCCTCCACTTTAACACTGGCCATATCGACCTGGTTAATTACACCACTTGTCTTGGAGTTAAAATTGACAATAAGCTGACATGGTCTGTGCACATTGACTCAGTGAAGAAATCTTTTACGCAGAAGGTTGGAGCGTTGAAGAGAATGAGAATCCTTCCGAAGAAGGTTCTCGAGGAAATATACTTTAAAACAATTATCCCCAGTGTAACGTATGGAATTTCGGTATGGGGAAATTGTTCTCCTTCCGCACTGAACTCTCTAAACCATATTCATGCAAGAGCAGCTCGTATTGTGAATAACCTCGACTCAACGATGGCAGATGACACATGTCTCATGAAATCCGACTGGCTGCCCATCTCTTACTTCTATAAAAATCTGTACTGTTCCTCTTGCACAAAGTATATTTTGGAACAACGACCCAGTCGATATGTGAACTGTTTTCTAAAAGAGTTTCTTCTAGATCTTCTCGTGTTCCTAACCAATTTAATGTCATTAGATTTAGATCAGAGACCGGCAGGAACTCCCTACGATACAGAGGTCCTGTTATTTGGAATTTTGTAAATAGATTAGTTAAAGTACCTGAAAGTTTTTATTCTTTTAAACAAATCTTACGTAAACATGTTAAGACTATTGACAATTTTTCATTTGAGAAAGAGGCAACAGTAGTTGCCAACAGAAAGGACCATTTCATTTACTTTTAGATTTATATGTTAGTCTTAGTGAACACCATTTTATTTGTATATAGTAGTTCTAAGTTATTATTGCAATTTTTATATATATGTAATTCCTAATATTTAGTATAGTAGGTCCACATCAGCCCTTTGGCTGCCTTTCACACAACCTACTTATCAAATAAAGAATGTATATGTATGTATGTATGTATGTAGTCTGTGGAAGAAGGTCCCACTAAATGTTGTTTAATAATGCAATGAGGTACAGTGTCCTCCACTTGATAATGTTGATGGCAGTCAGTTGAAACTGAAAGCACTGTGTCAATTCTTTCCAGGTGATGTTTGGTGTTCCCTTTGGCCCTGAGATTGACATTTGGTCTTTGGGATGCATTGTAGCTGAGGTTGGTTAATTGACTTGTATGTTCTCACCATAATTAAAATATCGTTAATGATTATTAGACCATCAGTCAGAGCTAATAACAGATGATGCTTGACAGTTTTATGATGGATATTTCTCCGTAAGGGGGGAGGAGAACTCACCCAGCCATTAATGTTATTGGTGAGGAAATGAAATAATGTCCTTTTAATATGAACATTGGTTTCAGTTGTATATAGGCAAACCTTTATTTCTGGGAGGAAATAGGACTAAAGTGTTGCAAGAGGTATGTTTTTGTTTTGGTTTTTTTTATTATTGGCACTTTTACAAGCTGTTTATGACCTAAGGTAACTACTTTTCATGCTTGGTTGCAGGTAACCAGTATTCTTGGTCCCATACCTCGGAGTCCATTCCATACTGGAAAATATTTTGAAGATTTGTCACAGTTTATAGGTCACCACAAATCAGGTAAATTCAAGTTTAAGATGATTCAAATGTAATCAAGTTATCTCAAACTTTTTGGTAATCCTTACTTAGTCCTCAACATCATTTAAATAGTCTCTGCAACTATTTCATAAATCCAGGTACACAACTTAAATAAACAATTGATTTAACCCTTTAACTCCTAAGAGTGACTAACATCCAATTTCTCCACACAACATCGTCCCTGAATCAAACATCAAGGTCATGAGAATAAGGGAGATGATCGCCCACTAAAGAAGCTCTTGATTTTTGAACAAATTCTCCTTGTCAGAGCCTTAGGAAATGTCTAGAGAGTAGTATGGAGAATATGCATACTGATGTTATGGAGTAAAGGGTTAAGATACATCAACAAAATAGCAAAAGACGACTTATCCTTTGTATGAGGGAGGAACCAGTGGAAAGAGAGCGATGCTTAGAGGTGGTTCAAGTGAAAATTAAAAAAATAATTCATACGTGGGAAAAGATTCTCTGAAAAAAAAAACATCATGCACAATGAGATGTCCAGAAAAAAAAAAAAGTATCCTTTCATTCACCTTTCCAACTATTATTTCTGCTCCCAAAAATGAATCAACAAAAACGTCCATAAATACAATAAATTTTCATGGGAAAAAAAATCCCACATAGAAAATACTGTAGGAATCAACACATGTAGGCTCTTTACTCACTTAAGACTTTTTTTTTCATTGCTTTTAGAGGACAATCACCTGAAATGTGTGAGTAATGTGATGTTAAAGCTCCATAATTCAAGGAATTTCTCTTTTGCACGTTTCTTAGTTGGCTTGCTGAAGTATAAACCAGGTAAGTATACGGAATTATCATAGTTTGTGTAACTTTTACTTGAAACACTTTGTTTGTTACAGTCGTTATCCTGCAAAACAATGCCAAACGCACTGACACGTGAAAAACAAAAACCAACCTTTGTTCTTTGCTTTGTATCACGATCTCAGGTGAAAGACTTACACCTTATCAAGCTGCTGCGCATCCATTTTGGCGCCAGAGTGTTCCTTTGCAAATTTATTGCCTCAACAAGGAGATAAGAAAACAGGTTTGTTCTTGCCTTCCATTGAACTGCATAAATGCAAATTGGCCCTATGCCGTCGCCATGAAACGAACTTCTGACAAAGAAATTTACCTTTCACATAGGAATCACCTTTTTACAGTTTCTCAGACTTCGTCGTTTATGTAGTGACGACTCTGATTTTTCTGAAAATCAGAGGCAACGTGCTAGTTTTTCGATAAACGTGGCTATCCTGTTTCTGTCGTTCAAGCGGGCCACCGCCGTGCCCAACAAATTGATGGACATTCAGCACTACAAACGGTTCAGAAGGAAAATGCCGATCGCATTCCATTCACTCTCACATTTCACCCTCACAACCACGCAGTTGAATCTATCATTCTTAAAAACTTTCAATTACTTCAAAACGATTCAGAGACTGGTACGATCTTTTCGCAACCTCCACTAATTTCATTCAAACGTGACAGAAACATTGGTAACTTTTTGATCAGAAGTTCATTTCAAACCAGTGACTAACCTGGAACTTTTAAATGCGCTCGCTCACGATGCAAAACTTGAATGAAGCAAGACTTGTTTTCATCCAACATCTCCCTGGAAGGTGTAGGGCAGTTAATTTCAAGTTTGATTAAGGTATTGGGAAACCTTTATCAATCAAAATATAATAAAATACCTCTGTTACGTTATTTCCAGATGCTGGAAGCTGCGCAGACATTTCGTTTCCTACTGAGTATAACTTCAAACCATACGTTGACGAGGAAGTTAAAAGGCAGCATTTTTCTGGAACTGAACTCTTAAAGAAGGGAACTACTGTAACTGCTTCTTCATCAAAACACTTTCAGAGCAAACAGGAGAATGCAACATCTCTGAGGACTGGAAATTTACATTGTTCTCAAAGAGAAAAGGTGACAATTAATGAGAAATCTCGTCGGGAAGACCAGTTGCTTCTAGAAAATTTTAGTTATGCCATGGAAGGTCCTCTTGCCACAGGATACCCTAAATCAATTCACCAACAGAACGAGACGTGTGCCGTTTTTAAAGGAAATACATGCTCTGATGATATTGAAGAAGAACGTAAACAAGTCTCGGACAGGCTCATGTCTACTCTCCTGACTCCGACAAATCTTTCTTTGGGAAAATTTTCAGAAAAAAAAGAAAAGTGTAATGAGAAGGATTATTTGCCAGCAGGAACTAATATTACTTGTCCTACTAATGAGTTCGAAAGACCTTCGGCGAGATTCGTGTACAACAAAAGCTCCTGTTTTAAGCGCAAAAGTGATGTTTTTAACGACACTCATGTAGAAGACGGAAGCCTCCAAAAGTCTCACGAACTTTCTTTATTTGGGGTTAAGAACTTTGGAAGCACAAACTTACTTGAGCATCACAACAGATTTAATATTGCTGGAAAACTAGGATTTGATGTGGGCAACTCTTCCTCAGGTGGAGAAACAAATGCTGCCGCAAGAACTCGTGTCTATCATAGGAAAACAAAATCTAGCAAAGTAGAGATTGGGTATACTAAACATGACAGTGTCGCTGCAGTCCAAATGGAGGTACATGTAAATGAATCTCCTTGTTAGGCGGCAAAAGCAATTGTAACAGATGTGAATCTTCAAGCGAAGTTTAGAGTGGGAAAGGTTCATGACGCATATTCGCATTTTGTGGGTGTTTTTTTTTCTAAATGCACGTGCGTTTATTTGGAAGCGATTTCCGGTTAATGTCCATACTCCTTAATTTAATAGTTGATCGACTTTTTCATGTTCAATCAATGACATGTAGCTAGGTTGTGGAGACCAGTCAATCAGTTAGGCAGGCAGGAAGGCAGTTGATCTACATTTTCATGTATCAACCAATCACATTTAGCTTGTTTGTGGAGACCAGTTAGTCAGTAGTTCAGTCAGTCAGGCAGGCACGCAGCTGGCCAGGCAGTAAATTTTTGGGCTTGACAGTCTGGCAAGCAGTCAACTGGTTAGCCAGTTGTTCAGTGCTTCACTCACGCAGGTATGTGTGAATTTGATAGTCAGACAGACAATGTGTCAGCTATTCACTCAGTCAGTCAATCAATTAGTTTTTCATTTAAACAGCCTGAAAGGCAGGCATCCAGCAAACAAATCAATCAGTCAGTAAATCGTCCAGCTACATGTAGTGTGCCAGATGGTTACTCGGCTGGTCAGTTGGCTCTCAAGGCACGCCTCCATCAACGAAAAGAAAAATCACCAAGATGCTGGAATATTGATCAATCATAACTTAACAATCAGTTAGTCAGCGAGTGAGTCGGTCGGTCTCCTGGTCATTCAGTCAGTCAATGACTCAATCAGGCTGGCAGTCGGTCAGGTGGTCTTTCATTCAATCAGTTTGTCAATCAGCTTGTCAGCAAGTTGTCTTAATCTCTTGGTTTTACCAAACAGGAATCAGAAGAACAAGTAAACAAGGACTCTGGAAAAGCCGCATTCTCTGGAGCATATCAGAATGATGTGAGTATTAACTTTTTTAATGGGAATAAAAATTTAGCCGATTCTCTTCTCTCTGTTGGCTCGAAATGTCAGCTTTGAAACTCTTTACGATAGTCAATTTACGTTATCAACTCAGTTGATAATTCTAAATTACTTCGTGGCTGTAGTTTACTTGTAGCTAGGGGTAAAGAGGTTATATTTTCAACATTTTTGGCTTATTTCATTCCTTTTGCCTCAAGAAACAAGGCAACTAATCTTTCCTACCCTCAATAAAGTCTGGCTCCTTATAATCTTTCAGATCATCTCAGTTTCCCGAGTGACTATGACATAATTACAATTAGGGCATTGAGAACATCGTCATTATAGAAAACCAACATCTTCTGCAACTCTTAGGCGATTGAAAATATTGAGACATATTGTTTCTTTCGATCGCCATATAACTGAATTTTGAAATAACTTTTTTAATGCGTTTTCTCTTCTCTTGTTTGTTTTTTAATCGTTTTATTTTGTATTTTATCATAGGAGGTGATGTTACTTGGCGAGAATGGACAAAGCAATTTCTGATATTTTTAGCTTTGTATTTTGATACCTGTGAGAGTACAAAAATGTAGTAAAAGATTTAGAGTGACTTTGTGGATTTTGTGGTGAAGTTCTTCATTACGTCATGTGCTATTGAGCTCTTAATTCAAATGTATGTGAAATAATCGTCTAACTATGCGCAGATCAATCGTCACGGCATTAATTACTTGCAGAACCTTACGGTGGCGTGTTAAAGGATTCGCTTTCCATTGAGGAAAGGGACAAAGTGAAAGGAATTGGGATGAAGACCAGCAAATATGTTTTTCTATGGTCAAAAGACAGCGGTCGTTCATTCCTTTCTTTTTATGCTCCATCGCAAGAACTACATTTCTGTTCTTTATAACAGTTGCTGCAACTTTTTCCTTTGTCTTCCAAACCGAGAACACCAGTCAGAAAATTAGACGATAGGGTTTCTGGTATCAAATGGTGTTTTTCCGAAATGAAACTACGAAGCACATCAAAAACGACTAACATAATGCTAAGTACGTCAAAATACTGATCTACATGTACCCGACTTGACATTAGTTATAATACATTACGATTATGTCGCTCCTTACGAAGTTCTACTGAAAACAGATTGTAGGAAAGATCATTAACTCGTGGTTTTGGTTTTCAGCGATAAAACAAATATTTCACAATTTTCTGTTTTTCTCAGGTTCAATGTTCTATAGCCCATGCCCTCCTAAGTTGGCTAGCTATTTCTCATTTTCATCTTTAAATAACACTCTACAGAGGGCCGTAACTTTTCCTAGCTTCTCACACATTTCTCCACTTTGTTACAAGTGATCACGCTCTGATTCAATTGGAGCATGAATTGCCTCAGAGATGCACTCGACTCTCACAAAAATTAGACGCAGAATTTTTTTCGAGGACTTGATACACAACGTCATGAACCCTCAAATGGGCTTCATCTGGCAAAGTATGAGTACCCAAAGGCTGTTCCTGACCGTGGGGGTGTGCAACATGACTTTTATTTGGGGGTCTATGGAAAAAAAATTCTTCATTCACTGAGGAACATACTTGATTACCATTGTCGGGCTTTCGTAAAGGGGGAGGGAGGGGGTAAGGGAATTGGATGGAGAAGGATCTCGTGGCCTTAACGCATACACTTTAGTAGAGCTTACATGGATGGTCTTTGAAGCAGGTTCTGAACTTAAATTGGTTACTGATGGGGTCGTAACCGTCACCACTTTTGTTGTTTTTGTTGATACTGATGCAGGCGTGGGCGAGGTGACGTTTGCACCCTCAGTATAAACGGTAAAACACAACGTTAAAGCCTGAAAGAAGGAGAGAGGTCTTGTGGCTCCGTTCAAAGAGACCCCCTCTGCGTATGAGGTCCTAGGCTGATACTATTCAGTGAAATTACAAACAAAAACTTCCACAAGACAATACATAGTTCAACTCTTAACAACATAAACAACAAAGCTTTCACACTCGTGGCAAATTACTCAATAGTAACCCACTAGAAGCCTGTTATGGCCATCCCTTTGTTAGCTACTATCACTGTCCTCATGCTAAGCTGAGAAAACTTTGCGAGGCGCTTCTATTGTTGTTGTCATACTGGCAGTGGTGTCTCGACAACGGCGCATACAGAAGAACAAAGGAGTCACCTCTCCCGCCTAGTTCAAAAGATATCTAAATGGCATACCTCAAAACGTCTACAGTAGACGACTGCGAGTAGTTGATAATTGATCACGAAAATTAGTACTGTCTGTCACGCTGATGGTTAGAAATTTGTTGCGAAGTTTCTAACTTGTTTTCCTTCAACTTAAACCCTAGAGAAACTGATAGAATGGTATTCCTGGGGCATCTCTTCCTTAACCCTTTTAACTCCCAGATCAAATTTGTAACTCTCTTTTCAGTCAACCGTACAATTCTTGTAATGTTAGTTCAAAGAATTTAGTATTGGATCAACTAATTATTCCCAAATTAATATTTTTCTTTATTCTCATCACTTATCTAGTTGATATCGTATTGATATTGTAACGAGAAATTCTGTCTTGGTCACTTATGGGAGTTAAAGGGTTAACTCGCACAATCCGATGAGTTTCACAACGGAATTGAGATGTAAAGTTTGCATCATTTCCATTTGAGAGTTGTTATTAATCTAAAAAGGAGAGCAATATTATCCAAATGAAGCTAGGGGAGCATTTCTTTCTGTGTCAAAACAACCCTGGAAAATCACAGTTTTCCTGTTCAACGAATGTTGAGTCAGCGTGGTGGTCAATTATCATCGAATTTAGTTTTCTGACCAAAAGGAACGTAAAATTCATACAGAGAGGCTAAATACATTAGCAATATTTTTTTTCCAATAAAGCACGCGTAGAGCGATAAATCCTGCAATCTAATTGGTTCCTAGAGCGGACAAGATTTTGTCACATACAGAACGGTAACACCTCGCCAGATCATCATGCCAATCTATTTACGTGAATTGTTAACGTTTTGGGTCTAGATATGAATGCAACTGATAAATTGCTTTCCAGCAGAAAAGCGATAGCAAAACGTACTGCACCATCCACCGGGATTTTTACCGACTGCGGGATCTCGTTATCCAACCCTGACAACTGGAACCAGATCTTTCAAGTAGGTAGAGTATAACAGGGTAATTCAGCATTATCAACTAAGTTGATAACGTAAATCGGCCACTGTAAAAAGTTTAAATGCTGACGTTTCGGGCGTTAACCACTCGCCAGAGCGATTGGAGGAATTGTGGGTTGTTTGTGTGTTTATCAACTCAGTTTGATAATTCTAAATTACCTTTTCAAGTATCCGTTGATTTTTCCATGATGTCGATCCTTTGTTTCTTATTTGTTCGAGTTAAGTTAAGTGGTAACGCAATTGTGTCCTCGCATTCTGTGTGTAATCAAAGCTGTAACAAATTTGAGGAAGTTGTTTGATCATCAGCATCCCGACTCGAGCACAAACAGCGATAGGACGGTTTGCACGTCGTCAAAAATGTGTAAAGGGCAGTCTACACATCATGTTTAGCATATTTCGCCTCATTTGCAAGTGTCAAGTTCATTCAAAGATGGTATATTGTTGTTAAATTGTCAGTTTTGAATGAGTGTAGCCGATGAGCATTTGCTAGTCTTCATGAATTGGTAACAGGAAACTGGATCGCATATTCTGTTTGTGATTAACATCTGCTACTCCAGGTTCGCGATTGTCAGACTTTGTTGTTCACTCGTATAATAACAGACTGACTGAAACTCTACTCAGCCCTATACTTTTATTAAAATGTATACAAAGATAATTTTTCCCTGTGGATATTTTTTGAAAAAAAACCAATTCACTAATAAAAAAAAAAAAAAATTCGGATAGAACTAGTCAAGGACCCTTGGTTGAAGTTTTTTTCCTGGCGTCGATTATCCAAGAATGTTTGAGGGAGTTTTTAGGAAGGATCACAGATCTACGATGTTATGATAAAAAATAGACTTTCGGTAGGGTATTTGTTATTGTTTTGTGTTCTTGCCTTTCTTTTGCCTTCCGGAATTGTTTAGTTTTATTTCTCCTCCATTTTTTACATTTTTGAAATCGAGCTTGAGTACGAAACCCACTATAAATAACCACAGGAGCCTGACAACCACTTACATGCACGAATTTATTGATTATAAAACTTCTCATTCAGTTAAAATTTCACTCGACCATGAATACTATACTACTTAGTAAGATGTACCAGGCTGAGCAAAACTAATCGACTGAAAAATATCACGTCTTCCTCTGTGATCTTGAGCGATATTACAATAAAAACCATTCTGATCCCTACGGTCTTTCTCTTTTCTGTCGGGAATAGAACGAAGATATAGCGGTCCTTAAACATCGAAACAGGTTTGTCTTCCTAAAGATGTTACCCGGAATCTTTTGCATGAATGGTGTTCGTTTCTAATCTACTGTTTTTCTTCTACTTTTAAAGTTATCGAAGGCAACTGAGGGCAGTGGGCAGACTCACTCATACCATGCATACACATCAACACAAGTTTTACCCCTGTTGTGAAATTTGCTAACTAATTAATTATTAATTAGTAATTATTCTCGTGTAGGCATTTAGAAATGAGTTCTGTTCTTTTGTTTAATAAAGACGGCTTCTTAGCTCTAGCTAAATAAAGTTTTTCTGTGAGGCACAAGTGGCACGAAAATCGACTTGCAGACTCCCTATATATATATATATATATATATATATATATATATATATATATATATATCCGTGTATTTCAAATAAATTTCAACGGTCTTATGAAATATTTTTTTCTCGCATGCAAATTTTTTCGTATTCAAATATATTTCGTATTCTTTCGGTTGTAATTGTATATTTATTGTCTTGTAACTCGGATATGTGGCACAAAAGTAGCAGACGAAAAATATGTTGAGTGTTTTTGGTCAACAAAATGCAATCCACTGCATAAATTTTCCTTTGATATTAATGTAACCTTTTCCAGCTGTTCA